TTAAGATCCATACCATACATACAGTATTCAGATATATACCATACACACAGTATTCAGATATATACCATACATACAGTATTCAGATATATACCATGCACAGTATTCAGATATATACCATACACAGTATTCAGATATATACCATACACAGTGTTCAGATATATACCATACACAGTATTCAGATATATACTATACACTGTATTCAGATACATACCATACACAGTATTCAGATATATACCATACACACAGTATTCAGATGTATACCATAAACACAGTATTCAGATATATACCATACACAGTATTCAGATATATACCATACACAGTATTCAGATCCATATCATACATACAGTATTCAGATCCATACCAAACATACAGTATTCAGATATATACAATACAGAGTATTCAGATCCATACCATACATACAGTATTCAGATATATACCATACACACAGTATTCAGATGTATACCATACATACAGTATTCAGATATATACCATACACAGTATTCAGATATATACCATACACAGTATTCAGATCCATACCATACATACAGTATTCAGATCCATACCATACATACAGTGTTCAGATATATACCATACACAGTATTCAGATATATACCATACACAGAATTCAGATATATACCATACACAGTATTCAGATCCATACCATGCATACAGTAATCAGATATATACCATACACACAGTAGTCAGATGTATACCTTACATACAGTATTCAGATATATACCATACGCAGTATTCAGATATATACCATACACAGTATTCAGATATATACCATACACAGTATTCAGATCCATACCATACATACAGTGTTCAGATATATACCATACACAGTATTCAGATATATACCATACACAGTATTCAGATATATACCATACACAGTATTCAGATCCATACCATACATACAGTGTTCAGATATATACCATACACAGTATTCAGATATATACCATACACAGTATTCAGATATATACCATACATACAGTGTTCAGATATATACCATACACAGTATTCAGATATATACCATACACAGTATTCAGATATATACCATACACTGTATTCAGATCCATACCATACATACAGTATTCAGATCCATACCATACATACAGTGTTCAGATACATACCATACACAGTATTCAGATATATACCATACACATTATTCAGATATATACCATACACAGTATACAGATCCATACCATACATACAGTATTCAGATATATACCATACGCAGTATTCAGATATATACCATACACAGTATTCAGATATATACCATACACAGTATTCAGATCCATACTATACATACAGTATTCAGATATATACCATACTCACAGTATTCAGATATATACCATACACACAGTATTCAGATATGTACCATACACAGTATTCAGATATATACCATACACACAGTATTCAGATATATACTATACACTGTGTTCAGATATATACCATACACAGTTTTCAGATATATACCATACACAGTATTCAGATCCATACCATACATACAGTATTCAGATGTATACCATACATACAATATTCAGATATATACCATACACAGTGTTCAGATATATACCATACACAGTATTCAGATATATACCATACACAGTATTCAGATATATACCATAGAGAGTATACAGATCCATACCATACATACAGTATTCAGATATATACCATACGCAGTATTCAGATATATACCATACACAGTATTCAGATATATACCATACACAGTATTCAGATCCATACCATACATACAGTATTCAGATATATACCATACACAGTATTCAGATATATACCATACACAGTATTCAGATATATACCATACACAGTATACAGATCCATACCATACATACAGTATTCAGATATATACCATACGCAGTATTCAGATATATACCATACACAGTATTCAGATATATACCATACACAGTATTCATATCCATACCATACATACAGTATTCAGATATATACCATACATACAGTATTCAGATTTATACCATACACAGTATTCAGATATATACCATACACAGTATTCAGATATATACCATACACACAGTATTCAGATATATACCATACACAGTATTCAGATATATACCATACACACAGTATTCAGATATATACCATACACACAGTATTCAGATATATACCATACACAGTATTCAGATATTTACCATACACAGTATTCAGATCCCTACCATACATACAGTATTCAGATGTATACCATACAGACAGTATTCAGATATATACCATACACAGTATTCAGATATATACCATACACAGTGTTCAGGTATATACCATACACAGTATTCAGATATATACCATACACTGTATTCAGATATATACCATACACAGTATTCAGATATATACCATACACACAGTATTCAGATATATACCATTCACAGTATTCAGATGTATACCATACATACACTATTCAGATGTATACCATACACACAGTATTCAGATGTATACCATACATACAGTATTCAGATGTATACCATACATACGTTATTCAGATGTATACCATACATACAATATTCAGATATATATCATACACAGTGTTCAGATATATACCATACACAGTGTTCAAATCCATACCATGCACACAGCATTCAGATCCATACCATGCATAGTATTCAGATGTATACCATACATACAGTATTCAGATATATACCATACACACATTATTCAGACGTATACCATACATACAGTATTCAGATATATACCATACACATTTTTTCAGATATATACGATACATAGTGTTCAGATCCATACCATACACACAGTATTCAGATCCATACCATACAGACAGTATTCAGATCCATACCATACATACAGTATTCAGATGTATACCATACACAGTGTTCAGATATATACCATACACAGTATTCAGATATATACCATACACACAGTATTCAGATATATACCATACACAGTATTCAGATGTATACCATACATACACTATTCAGATGTATACCATACACACAGTATTCAGATGTATACCATACATACAGTATTCAGATGTATACCATACATACGTTATTCAGATGTATACAGTATTCAGATGTATACCATACATACGTTATTCAGATGTATACAGTGTTCAGATATATACCATACACAGTGTTCAGATCCATACCATACACACAGTATTCAGATGTATACCATACACACAGTATTCAGATGTATACCATACATACAGTATTCAGATGTATACCATACAGTCAGTATTCAAATGTGTACCATCCATACACTATTAATATGTATAAGATACACACAGTATACAGATCCATACCATATACACTGTATTCAGATCCATACCATACACACAGTATTTAGATCCATACCATACAGACAGTATTCAGATCCATACCATACATACAGTATTTAGATCCATATCATACACAGTATTCAGATATATACCATACATACAGTATTTAGATCCATACCATACACACAGTATTTAGATCCATACCATACAGACAGTATTCAGATCCATACCATACATAAAGTATTTAGATCCATATCATACACAGTATTCAGATATATACCATACATACAGTATTTAGATCCATACCATACACACAGTATTTAGATCCATACCATACACACAGTTTTCAGATTTATACCATCCATACAGTATTCAGATGTATACCATACACGCAGTGTTCAGATGTATACCATACACGCAGTGTTCAGATGTATACCATACACGCAGTATTCAGATGTATACCATACACGCAGTGTTCAGATGTATACCATACACGCAGTGTTCAGATGTATACCAGACACAAAGTGTTGAGTTTCTTACGACAACCACATTGTATACATAACAAAGAATGGAATTTGAGACTACCAGGATGTATGTAGTGTTGTGAGAACAAAAACATATCTGAAAATAATAAGGCTCAAGGGAAAAGGAAAGAGGAGGGCCAAATCATATTCGATGAGCATTTAGCAACGTGTTTGGAGAACAATATATGCCATTGAGTGTATTTCAATCGTAGCATGTCGGGGACATCGGGAAGCACTTATATTTTATTTATCTGATACGAACAATGGATAATAGAAATCATTAGAGAATGCGTTTGTTATTACTGTGGTAAGCCAATTTGCCATTCAGGCATGATACAATATTAATGTACCTGCCATGACAGCAGGGAGGTATCATCAATTACAAACAGATAAAGCAATACATAATTCAGCTGTAAGCCACGCATAACTGCAATAATTCCTAGACTATTTCATTACAAGTGTAAATACAGTTTGTTCATTATTATGATGTAGGCCTACTAGTCAGACATTATTTCTGCATAGCGATATAAATAAAAAAAGATACTTAAACTTTCTAACGATATATGCAGTAGAATCATGCATTAATGAGGTACTTTTAAACATATTGGCTTTTAATTCGTTTTTAAACCGGTTCTGCTGTATCCATTGGAAAGGAACTTTGGTGTCGTTTTCTATTTTTTTCATAGCCAATAATGCGTTAAAATTTCTGTAAAACCAACAAAACATACCAAAACCGTTTCCTATTCTTTGCATAGCCAAAATTGCGTTAAAAAGTCCTTCAAAACCAACAAAACCAAACCCTTTTCCAATGGGTATATATTTCTTCCTCTCTTACGTTAGTTATGTGGTGCGATATTTGGGAGCATGCGAGAATCATATGTTAAAAGCGTCCGGAAATTAAGAGACATATGGTGAGTTTAACATTAAGCCGCCATTTTTTTCTACGCCAAATATAAGGTGCATGTGTGTATGATGTGATATAGATTTTTAACGTAGCTTTATCAATTTTTCAGTCATATCTCTACGATGTCTACAGTGTAAAAGTTTATAGTGATGTCTAACACTGGGGCATCATACCGCAGACATGTGGATGATGTCCCACCCAGTCATATTATCCTGACACCAGGCCAACCATTCCTAACACTAACCTCTTAATGCTGAGCGCCAAGCGGGAAAGATGTTAGTACAATTTTTTAAAGTCTTTGATATGACTCGACCGTGGTTCGAACCCGCGACCTCCCGCATACGAGGCGGACGCTTTAACCACTAGGCCACCAGAGCGGTTCCAAGTATAAGGAGAAATTAATGAAGGTCTTCTCGGTTTATAGCAGCAAAGGCGTGTCAAGTGTTAAAAGTGTCGTGAGTTTATTCCTTATAAATCCAAAGGGGTGAAATTTTGTGGCTAATACATGCTGAGTATTAATTCAGACGTAATTTACATTCATTGGTGTCTTATAACTGTTACAAATTTAAGCAAGCTCACCAATGTCAACCATATGAGAAGAAACAAAATAGTGGAAATAAAAGGTAATCTATTTCAACGGTCTGATATTGGTTTATGACTTATACAAGCAGCTATCGTAAACTCTTATTTAGGGCAAAAAGGACAACACAGATGTTGCGCAGATTTTGGGCTTTGGCTCTGAAGAATTTTAACAATTTGAATAAGTGTACACACAGATGTTTGGACGATTTAATTCTCAAATTTTAAGTACAATTTTAAATATTAAAATATTTATATGTCCAAAGAATTAAACCCTCAACATTCTGCGACGTGTCTAGGCTCGTCTAAAAGTAGCAAAGAAAAGATTGAAGCCAACAAGCTTTGTTCAATTTAACCAAATAATTTATTTCCCTAGAAAACAAAGTAAAATATAAAAAGGACTTACGGTTTGTGAATCTCATCCAAAAATTAATCCTAGAATTTAAAAATATTAGTCATATCACTAAAAAGTTCTAAATGAATCAAAGTTCGAATCTCGATGAAGTTCCAAGATGGAAGGTAATGATGACTTCTTATCGTGTTTTGCGCTGTCGAGTCAACAATTCCTTGTAGAATCACTAATGTTAATATTCCTCTTTAGAATTCTGAATAATTTCCAATAACTGTCTTTATCCAAAGATTTTTGATGAAGAAGAACACTTATTTATGTTTTCCAGAAAAAAATAATTACTAATTCCAAAAAACTAGAAAAACTTAACTGAGACTGGTCACAACACATATACCTTTGAGCTCCGAAGGTATTAATTTACGACTGAATTAAATCACATAAAGCGTTAGTTTTGAATGAAATTTTAGATCACGTAATGGGGGCACGAGGTCACTTAATTCGAATGGTATTGTAAGACCATACGCAAGCTGACACGCACGCCATGGACGAATTTGATTCTACCTAACGAATGTTACTATAAGAATCAATAATAATTTAAAAAATAACTAAAATTGTTTATAACAGAGCTGACACACAAGCCAAATATGATATTTATTGTAACCTATGACTTTCACTCTAAGAAAGAAATAAAGTTGTTTATCAATTCTGAATCAAGGTCAGGAACTATATTTATCTAACAATAAAATGTAGCAATATTGGTTATTTACCATAACTGAACTGAATTTTCAGGAAAAATGTCAAATTCAGTGAATAAAGTTATCATTACACTAACATGTAATGAAATAAAATTAAAAAAAGATTTAAAACTAACACAAAAGTAATTAAAATACATATGCGTAACAATATGGCAAAAATCTGTTAGATATGCAATTGTTATTCGATGGAATGAGGTAAGATATTCTTTTAGAGACCAATCAAATTTTAATTAATTTAGAGCATAAATGAAACCATTAAAAGTTTAATTCATTTAGAAAATTAATGAGACATTTAAATCATTAATGAGGCAAATCAGATGTCAATTAATTTAGATCATTAATGAGACATTTGAATCATTAATGAAGCAAATCAGATGTCAATTAATTTAGATCATTAATGAGACATTTGAATCATTAATGAGGTAAATCAGATGTTAATTTATTTAGATCATTAATTTTATCCTGGAAAAGGAATACATGAATATAATAACTCCTTTTTTGTGTTTTTACTGTCTCTGTTATATGTACCATCAAGTGCAGTACTGATACTGTCCCTGTCTTATGTACCATCAAGTGCTGTACAGGTACTGTTTCTGTCTTATGTTCCATCAAGTGATGTACTGTTGCTGTCCGTCTTAGGTACCATCAAGTGCTGTACTGTTACTGTCCATGTCTTATGTTCCATCAAGAGCTGTAATGTTACTGTCCCTGTCTTATGTACCATCAAGTGCTGTACTGTTGCTGTCCGTCTTAGGTACCATCAAGTGCTGTATTGTTACTGTCCCAGTCTTATGTACCATCAAGTGCTGTATTGTTACTGTCCCAGTCTTATGTACCATCAAGTGCTGTACTGTTACCCGTCCATGTCGTATGTACCATCAAGAGCTGTAATGCTACTGTCCGAGTCTTATGTACCATCAAGTGCTGTACTGTTGCTGTCCGTCTTAGGTACCATCAATTGCTGTACTGTCCATGTCTTATGTTCCATCAAGAGCTGTAATGTTACTGTCCCTGTCTTATGTACCATCAAGTGCTGTAATGTTACTGTCCCTGTCTTATGTACCATCAAGTTCTGTACTGTTACTGTCCCTGTCTTATGTACCATCATGTGATGTACTGTTACTGTCCCAGTCTTATGTACCATCAAGTTCTGTACTTACTATCCCTGTCTTATGTACCATCAAGTGATGTACTGTTACTGTCCCAGTCTTATGTACCATCAAGTTCTGTACTGTTACTATCCCTGTCTTATGTACCATCAAGTGATGTACTGTTACTGTCCCTGTATTTTGTTCCATCAAGAGCTGTAATGTTAGTGTCCGTCTTAGGTACCATCAAGTGCTGTATTGTTACTGTCCCTGTCTTATGTACCATCAAGTGCTGTACTGTTACTGTCCCTGTCTTATGTACCATCAAGTGCTGTACTGTTACTGTCCCTGTCTTATGTACCATCAAGTGCTGTACTGTTACTGTCCCTGTCTTATGTACCATCAAGAGCTGTAATTTTACTGTCCCTGTCTTATGTACCATCAAGTGCTGTACTGTTACTGTCCCTGTCTTATGTTCCATCGAATGCTGTACTGTTACTGTCCCTGTCTTATGTACCATCAAGAGCTGTAATTTTACTGTCCCTGTCTTATGTACCATCAAGTGCTGTACTGTTACTGTCCCTGTCTTATGTTCCATCGAATGCTGTACTGTTACTGTCCCTGTCTTATGTACCAACAAGAGCTGTAATGTTACTGTCCTTGTCTTATGTTCCATCAAGTGCTGTACTGTTATTGTCCATGTCTTTAGTTCCATCATGTGCTGTACTGTTAGCCACTTTACGTTTAGGCTAGGCTGTTATGAGTCTATGCTCTTAAAATAGGCAACAGAAAAGAGTGAAAGAGAACAAGCTTTTTAAAATTTAATAAACAGTTTATTTCCCTAGAATACAAAGTGAAGATGAGGAAATAGAACTTACAGTATTGCGAATTCAAATTCCCAAATAATCCAAGAAATCAGACACAATTTCTATTAATTGAAAGTCCTGAAAAAATTCAGTTAAAGTCAAGAATAAATTCAAAAACGAGTATGTTATATCTCCTTGTATGTTTATGTGTTGATGTGCCAACAATCTTTTATTGAATTACAGAAGTATAAATCCAGGTTTGAATGCACTATAAATATCTATTTCCAAGAATTATATGAGCATATTCATATACACCATTTAAATCTGTATGTGAATTCAGAAAATTAAACAATCAATAATTATCTACCGATTTAAAGTAGATAAATCATATACAAATATAAAAATATACTTAAACATTTTGTCGTGATTGTTTCAAAAATCATTATGGTAAAATTAGAGATGGAGTATGGTTCTGACCGGTATGTTAACTTAGAATCGTTTTGATAATTTATGAGAGCTTGCGCTGCCATGAATATCCGCCTATTACTTTCACTCAGAATACGTCAAATTGACTCATAGCAATGTCTTAATTCCAAGTCAGTGATGTAAATAGAACACTATGAGCTGTAGAATTTTGATATTATAACGAATTGTTCATCGGTTTCTGCTTGTCCACAGTCTATTATTAGAAATATATTTTAGGAGTTAAGCTACTGCTTGTACTTCCAATCGCGTTTGCTGAACTTGATCCACTCCATCACTAACAAACTAATACGAAATAATTGTATGTGGATCGATTCAGGAATGTTTGAACATTATTAATAGGTAGATTTATTTATTTTAATCAGCAACATGTTCCACAGTTGAATTATTGGAGGAGGAAATGATTTTTGATAGTGTCGCTCGGCACAAAGTAGTTCAATTAGTATTGGAATTATCAAGTGGTGTATGTATCATTGTTAACAAGAGATTGAATAATACCTTGTAAGAAATTCGGAGCAAAACCATGGTATATTCTGAAAGACTGAATTAATGTTTGCTTATAGCGTTGATGATTCCCTCATATAATAAAATCCGATCCATACTCTTTGTAGTACGTACAAATTACAGCCTCCAAATTTATATTTTGCAGCGATTATTTTTCTTGCATAGTAAAATTATCCCAGATAAATCAGCGTAGTTAACATGGGAAGTAAAGATCATATTAAATATGTTTACATTCTTTCCAAACACAAGTGATCCAATTTATATTTAATTTCTTTATATGAAGTTTCTCCCATACCTTTTCGGACAAAAGCTTGCCATGAGCTTGCTATGTGGTATCACATGACAATATAATACACAAGTGCTTTTTTGGAATACTCCTTGAATGCCTTTATTGGACATATGCTGTAGAAGATGGTTATTTGAGTGTTACTTTCGTGTTATGAGCAGTAACTCTGTTTTGTCTTGTTTAAAGGTCACAAGTCAAAGACGGGACCAGTCCTGTAATTTGTAATGTCCAAAATTTAGAATTTTCAACGATAATATATAGTGCAGTATCATCTGCTAATAGTCTTAGTTATCATTGTATATATGATTTACATCATTTATGTACATTAAAGATAATAATGGTCCAAGAATCGATCCTTGAGCTACTCCTGCAATTCAAATTGAAAATCAGAAAAATCGGGAATTCAGGACAACTTTCCAGTATATGCCTTTCAGTCTGTTATTGTAGGAATGGTTTCCAAAGATGTTATATGTCTATGTAGTCTATTTTATCTTAACGGATCGCCAGTTGGATAGACTTCTAACCACT